AAGATCTGATTACCAGTATTTTTAAACTAACAATCGAAAATTTATGAATCTCCTCCAACGACCAGATTAGGAGTTATTAAACTGAGAAGGGAGCACACTCTAATAACATTTTTAATGATGATGGTAATAATAATAATAATGACGGTATGAAATCGCAACGAGTATTTTTCAGTCGGGTATTGACGAGGAAATGGAACGACTCATAGCCGAAGTGATTCTGCAGAAATGGAGCAACGATAAACGCTTATTTGCATCCGATCATAATGGTTATCACTATGCATATTCATATTAAAGATAATATTTTTATCAACTGCAATTGTATAATAATAATTGTAATTGTATAATAATTCTAATGTATAATAATTGTAATTCTAAATAATAATTGTAATTATTGCAAATCATACTGCTTGCAGAAGATAATCAAAATCCGAACGATCCATGCTGCTCAAAAGATTTGACAATATCGGCCGAGAATCCAGTTTATCGTGGAGAATTATCATCATCTGCTAGTCAGCAACCAATCGCACAATCGACCACTCCAGTTAGTGGTTTGCAATATTCACATGTGATCAGTAATGTTAAACAATGATTATTATTGTTATTATTGTATGTATCGTTAATAATGTTAGGGCAGAGATGGACAGTAGTGGCTATCGCCATTTTATCGATACGGAGTGAAATAACGAAAAGCTTATTTCGCTACTTGGCGATACTGTTTTACTAGCGATATCGCTTTAATGCTTATCATTGGTTATTACATTATTATCGAAAAGATGTGATTGCGGTTGTTAGTTAGTGTTTTGTATATGTCAATTTTATTGTTTAAATCATTTTGGTACAATACATAATCATTGCCAGTTCAGAAGAATAGCAAATGTATGGATGAATGAACAAAGTATGTATTTTTATTTAATCAGCAAATCAAACTCATTACGAGTTTATGCCTCTCTGTTATTACCAATATCACTAATATCACATTCTTCCTTCCTTGGCATTCTTCTTTCCGCGCAGCTAACGATAATAGCGTTTGGAATCATCTGTCTTCATGAAATCCGAACTTGAATTATTGATTTGGCAAGTACAGAGGTTTTGGGCTACTCTCCCATATGCCCATTTATTTCTACGGAAAGTATGTATCATTTGGTAGAATTATATTTGTTGGTGAATTCGTATCGTAGACAATTTGCACAATTCTGAATGAATAATTCAGAAATAATTGATTTTTATTAAGTACCAGTCAATTTTAGGGTTTGGATTGTGCGAAAGTGCGTTTACTATCCGAGCAGTTGTGGCGAAGGCTGGAACGAAAATACGAGTTGAAACTACAGGCGTGGAAGAAGAGCGAGGAAAAACAACTGGAAGAAATGTTGGAGAAGCTGAGGGCAGAATACAAGCAAAGTATTGATGCAAAACACACACAAGTATGTAAAAGTTTGATAATTTACAGCTGTTTTTATTTTTTCAGAAGGTTTGAAAAATTCCATTAAATGTTTACAAATTCAGTGAATATCGGAACAAAAATTTCGAGAAGTGTGCGAAATGAGAGCAGAAATCAGCACATTTTGTATTTGTTACGTATAAGGATTCATGAGATCACGATCGCAACGTTTCATGCGTAGAGTATTTCATTTGCAGTACGCAGAACTGGCTTCACGTAAAGAGGATGAACTAAGGAAGTTGGAGACACGCTTGAAGGAGGATTTCAGACTGGAACAAGAGGTTTTTCGTTGAACAATTTAAAATTTGAAATCCTTTCTGTTTTTTTTTTCAAATTCAATTTCCCAACGAAGTTTTTTCGATGTGTGATAATGATGAATGACATTGTTTGTATCATGAATATTATTGTTATTATTTTACTATCATTTTCAAGAAATACCAATTGAAATTGCAACAAGAATGGCGTCTTATCGAAGCCGAGAAACGTGACTTACGAGCTCAGAAGGATCAATTGGAAACGGCGAAGTCGAATTTCTCAATGTAATAACAATATTAATATTATTATTTTTTAATAGTAATATTATTACTATTTATTGTCATCGTTACTATTATTGTTGAATGAAATTAATGTTGGTTGCAGAAAGATGCAACACGAAGAGATGTGTCTGAAACGTGATCAGACTGCATTGACACGTATGAATGAGACGTTGTTGGAGCGTAAAAGGAAACTGGATGAGGCAGTGAGGGAAAAGGCGATTAGCAAAGCGGGACAAATACAGGAGAATTGGTTGAATGAAATGGTTTGTTATTATTATTATTATTATTTATTTCAGTTTCATTTTATTTTGTCATTATTATTTCAGTTTTATAGTTTTAGTTATTTAATTTTTAATTTTTTTATAATTTTCATTCCATTTTTAATAGTTTCATTTCATTCATTCAATCATTTAGGTGAATGAATGGAATGAAAAAGAGGCGAAACTATCTCAAAAATGCAGTCAACTCGCCGAACGCGTGCAACAAATGAGTGAACTTCCGAACAAGATTCGGCAGCAAGATGAGATCATTCAGCGTTTGAAGGTGTTTTGATTGTTATTGTTATGATTATTGATTAGGCAGTAATAGCGTTTGTAGGATTCGCGGAAATATTTTTGAGAATGCGATTTTTTCCCTGAAAAGTGA